TCAGCTTCAGCGACCGCCCGCTGGAACCGAAGGTACCCACCAAGCTACCGACTGTACCTGACTGGAAGGTGTGGAGCTCCCCACATCTTTCAAAGAACCCCTGTTCATGTCAACTGTTAGTAAAACCAACTGTTGATATTGACAAAATCAACTGCACCAGGAGCTTGTCAAATCAGCTTTGTGATAATGAACAAAGAAAGGGCCCATGGGCCAATGTCACATGCTGCAACTTACAGGGGCCTAAGGGGATCCGAAGAAAATCATGCTGCAACTCGTTCTCAAAACAAGGAGCTCTGCCTTCAATCATGCATCATATCCTCCATGGATATCATGAAAAACAAAAAAAAACAAAAACCTTTCGAACAAACGAACATGCTTGAAGGGATACCATGCGATTTAAACCATTTGACCATCATGCTCATATAACTTAACTATGTGGTGATTGCTGGTTCATGGGGGTTTCTATTGGCTTTCACGCTGGACCGGTCCTCCCTCTTCCGGTCCCCTCTTCGGTCCCCTCTCGCCTCTTCGGTTGCTCGGTTCACCTGGCTACCACGCTCACCGAGACGGCGCCGATCTAAGTCGAGTCGTTTCGATCGAAACTCTGAGGACCAAAACATGTTGCAGCAAATCATAGCGCAGCAACGAACATGGCCCCAAGGACTGTCCTATTTAGACCCTAGGATTCCAACAACTATTGCTTTACTCAGGAATTCACACTACAAAACCAAGATAAACCCTATTGTTTATGGTCTTTGACGGCCGGGTAGATTGATACCTGAGCTTGAACTGGAGTGGTACATACTGTAGACGGAGCAAACATCCTCTATCCTCTGCAGAAAACCGACCAAGAACCCGTCTTCCCATGTCGATTCCGCCGATTCCTTTGGCAAGATGTGGTTCCTTCAGGTGCACCAACCATTCATGTACAGTATATGTGATAGTCATTGAAGTCATAGAGGTAGGACACCTTGAAAATCAAATCCAATCACCCACACACTGATTGTGTGCTCCCCTTGTGAATGCAGCGGCGGAAGTTGTGGAACCCACACAAATTCCCATCAAGAACCACGCACACTGAGGACGTCTGAGGCTTTTTCTTTCAGGCAGTCAGTAAACCGCTCGTTCCTCCACCAGACTCAAGAGCATCGTCTGAGCTGTGGTGTCCAGTGGTAATCACTGAAGCGGCACGGTGCACGATCTTCTGCGCTCTTTTGGTCCCTGTGGTGGTGGTGGTGGTGGTGGTGGTGGTGGTGGTGTTTCACATGGCGGTCTGCAGCGCCTTCGGAATAGGCGCTTCATGTGCCTCAAGAATGCAAAGATCATGTCAATTGTGCACTTTCCCGGAAATAGCCGATGTTCCAAATGTTCCCTTCATTCAGTGGAAGGTCCGCCCCCCAAGCATCTAGAAAAACAAATTGAGGACCTACAGTTCGTGACCTCACTTGAGATCCCGGGATTTGCGGTCACCAACTGGCCTGTTTGTTCAGTCACACTTAGAGACACCAAACACCAGTGTCTTGGTCACGAACTGAAGGCAGTGGTATGTACAGTGGTTCCAGAGTAGATGGCACTGGCACCCCTACATGTCTTAGACAAATCGGGGTCCATGATTGCCCCACCTAACTTGGGTAACTTGTGCCGTCTACTCGGAAACCACCCCTACAAGTTCAGTCAGACCCAGGTCCAAACCTGGCCAAACTTCTACTACCTCCTTAAGTCTGGGTTTTGTATGACCATCTATGATCTCCTCCAGTAAAATGAGGCCAGTTCCTGACTTGTAGGACACCGTCATCACTCCAAGCGCTCCAAGGCCCCAGTCATGTACCGAGCGCATGGGCAGGTCCGGGCAGGTCGGGACGAAGCACTGCAGGGTCTCCCCTGCGAATCCCTGCACCATTCAATTGAAGAAGCACTCATGGAAGTGGAACCCCCCCCCCTGGTTGTTTGACAGAAAACCGTCTTTCAAGGGCCATCTTCCACATGTGTGGAGGGAGGGTATCCCTGCACCACAGCAACTGTGACCACCATATGTTTGCAGGTCGTCGGTTTGCTCTCCGAGTGGAGTTGATCACAACATGCGTGCGCCCTCGTGAGCGCCCTCACCGCGCACACCATGCGCTCTGGCAGTCAAAGGGACTACCGACCACTGGGTCTAGCGACCACGCCGCGACCGGCCAAGCGCGCGCGGCGCCAAAGGGTCCATCGATGGTTTTCATGGTCAGGTTTCACTCTGGTTGGGAAGTGTCAATAGAAACACTAGTATGATATACAGTATGATATACAGTATACTATATGGGAAATGCAGGATAAACAGTATGATATACACTTGGTCAAAACGAGAGATCTCGTGCTCGTGAACCGTATCGGTCGTGCGTCCGTGTGTCGTGCTAGTCCGAGTCCCTCAACACCAATCGTTGGGGAGCCCTGAGGAGCCCTGTTGCCCTAGGGATCCCCCCGTACCTTCTCAGGTACGGTGAGGAAGAAGACTATGTAGGTGCAAAAAAAAAGGTCCAGGCATACCGAACCTGAGAAGGTACGACTGGATCCCTAGGGTTGTGACATAAGCGACACAGTCGTTGCTATAGGACGTTAACGTGAGGTTGTCCTCTTCAACCTGAATGCCCTTCTCACAGCTCGAATGGCTGACTCTATGTTCTGAGTAGCCAGGCTCAGGCTGTTGTTGCTCGAATGCTCAGGCTGAGTAGCCAATGTCTGACTCATTTGGTCCGATGTGTTCGCAAAAATGACATGATTTTACACATCATCGAGCAACCTAGGCATACCTATATGATGGGGCCTAATGGCCTATCCTATCCTATCGAAGCCGTCCGCAAAACGGCACTCAAAACGGCCTCCCATGTGGACCACATGTGACTCCGTTCGTTGCGCCGGATGTAGCACCCGGTGCTCGCTGATTTTGCGGCCACCGGTTTCATGGCTCGGTCATCACGGCGGGACCCGAGCGACGAAGAGGTGGAGGTGCTGAGCACACGACGGGCCAGCGCTTAGCTGTTTTGTTTTGATGCGTACGGCGCTTGAGAGAGGGAAGACCTCGGGTGGCTATGTTGACTCTGCTGGCTGAACGGAGCCAGAAGGACCAACATGTTCCAAATTAATCCAGGATGAAAACGTTCGCTTTCAGAGTCCATACTCACCTTTGGTCCATGGTCACCGAAGGAAAACATCTGATCTGGGAATCAAACATGTTACTTACTTCCCGTCATTCTGTTTGTCTGGCCAAAACATCAACGTCGGTTTGTTGGTGTAGTGCTTTGAATTGAACAGGGCTCGCATTGGAGTGTGTACTAGCTTGTACAGGAATGCAGCCATTCTTGTGAGTAGAACACTATTTGCATACCGAAAACAAGAGCTCAGCAAATTCTTTGTATGTCCTATTCACGACACAGCCATGTCCTTGCTGTTCTGAACAAGAACGGCACGCGTCACGCTTCACTCGACCTCTCGTCTTTCTTTTGCGAACCCTGTGGGTCTTCCTGGGTCGTGAAACGATACAGGGCTTCACCTGCATCGCCCGACGGCAAGCTGGCGCGCGGCACTGCCGCACTGCCGCACTGCCCGCGGCATCTCATCTTCATGTGAAACATCATGACACCTTAACTGTGGGACTATGCGGGAGTCTCCCGCGTTCATACCAAGTGCTCTTGGCGCGCATGTGTGCCGAAACGCCAGCAGCCACCGCTGGAAAGCAACCTTTAGTCATTAGGTGTGTTCGCAGCGAGCCTCTTTTATTGTCCTCTAGAAGCTGTACTTCAAAGCCAAGGCCATCTGGATTTGATCTGACCTCTTTGTCTGGTGACTTGTTCATACATGCTCCAATTCAAAAAACTTTGTTTGTTTTTTTTCAATTTAAAAATGTTGCTTCCCAAGATTTCCATCTAGCCTTATTGATCAGGGCGTCAAGGCCTGATGCTTCGTACTGAAAGGCGAGTACATCCCTGCGAGAAATGAGTGAAACCATGTGGCCAACTTAATTGTCATTAGTAGTAATTAAACGCGTTCTGATTGCGCTTCATGGATCATGACTGAGGCTCGCGGCATTACTTTTCTTTTCTGATAGCTCTGGCAGCACAGGGATCTTGACCTCCTCTGGTTGGCGTGCCAAGTGCCATCATATCACACCAACCTCTGCCACTGAGACTTACAGTGAAATACACACAGTATCATCTATTGCATGTAAACAACACAGGTTTGGTCGTTGGACCGTTGGAATAAAGACAGACTTCCAAAAAAACACATTCCGTTCGTCCATGTCTTTGCCGCTTGGTCTGCAGCGAACATGCTCTTTTCGTTTTTCATCTTGAAAAATTCTCTTGCCACGTGCTGCCAGCAGCTAGCTTCGACTCTCATCGTCGTTTGCCTGGCGTCTGACTGCACCCTGCCCGCTTAAAAGCGCGGCCGAACGGCGGCCCGACGGTCCCAAGGGGCAATGTGTTCCCATCCCATCTAACTGTCTCCCCAAAGCTTATGGGATTTAGAGCAACCATGCCACCATGATGCGACATAGGTCTAGTGAACATGGCCATCACCAAGTGGCCAAATAGTAAATAAATAAATAAATATATATTAATATCATTATATATTTAATGTCGACGCATGTGTGTGTGTCCCATCCATCTGACGACCCCAAGACTCAACAAGTTCACCTAAATGACCCAGCCGCAATCACTCATATAAGCAAAAAACACACGTAATTAACCAATCCCTTGAAGGACAATCAAAAAAACATCAAACACCATGCACTAAAACACCAAAACCGACAAAACTGATACATTTAGCAGCAAACCGCCACCAAACCAACATCAATCCAACATCAATGCAGTCAAAAGCTCCGCTTTTGAATGAAACAACACCGTTGACATCCCTTGACCCCCCAAAAAAAGGAAAAACACACACAACAAAACCAACCACCTCGACACCAGGCGGTTCGGTGACACATGGCAACCTCTCTGCGTAACCCGCACGGTGACACCTTCGACTCAATGAGCTGACTCCCTCTTCACATAGATCTTCAGCACCTCTGAGGTGCAGCCGTCTCGACCAACATCATCGGTCTCGTCTACTTGTACCGAAAAAGTATCCCGGCAAGAGACCCCAAACAGTGTGTGTGAGGTCTATAAGCAAAAAGTCTAGAGATCTAGATGCATTGGGGTCCAGAGAGGTGATCAAGTTGGTGATCGTGGTGACGGCGGCGGCGGTGGTGAGTGAGTGTGAGTGAGAGTGAGAGTGAGTGTGGGTGAGAGTGAGAGTGTGAGGAAGTGTGAGTGTGAGTGAGAGTGGGAGAGTGAGTGAGTGTGAGTCTGAGCGCGAGTGTGAGTGAGAGTGAGAATGAGTGTGAGTGAGAGTGAGTGTGGGTCAGAGTCAGTGAGAGTGAGAGTGAGTGGACTGAGTGTGGGTGAGAGTCAGAGTGAGTGTGAGTGTGAGTGCGAGTGAGAGTGAGAGTGAAAGTGAGAGTGAGAGTCAAAGTGAGAGTGAGTGAGAGTGGGAGAGTGCATGCATGGGAGAGTGAGTGAGTGTGAGTGTGAGGAGTGTGAGTGCGAGTGCGAGTGTGAGTGGAGTGTGAGCGCGAGTGGGAGTGAGTGTGAGTGTGAATGTGAGTGAAGAGTGAGCGTGAGCGTGTGTGAGTGAGTGTGAGGGTGAGAGTGAGAGTGAGAGTGAGAGAGTGAGAGTGGCGCCGAAATCTGCGCTTCGAGGTTCACAAGGTACTGCGCCTGCCACAAAATCTGCATTTCGAGGTTCACCAAGTGCTGTGCGTGTCACAAACTCTGCGCGTCGAGGTTCAAAGTGCTGTGCCTGCCACGAAATGTGCAAACGAGCCACATGCCCAAAGGTCACGATTCACCGCACCTGTCACGAAATCTGAGCTCCTCAACGATCACCACCGTGTCCAAAGTGCTGCACCTGCCACGAAAACTGCACTTCGAAGTAAAACAGCGAAAAGTCGACTTTGCAGCACGAAAACATGAGGTTTCCCTTGCACCTGCCACGAAAAGTGACCATCATGTGCGGAAATGCGCGCGACACCACAACGAGAGCGCAGTCGTTAGAAGCACACGCCGGGGTCACCCAGACTTTGTGAGACTGCGCAGTCGAAATGCACCTTGACGATGTCGAGAGGCATGAATGTACTGTAAATAGCAGCGAATTAGCCGGACACGCCCGCGCGCTTCAGCGATCTAAGCGTCAGCTGCTTTTCTACTACCGTAAGAACCCCTCAGTGTGTCCACACTGTTTGAGGGAAAAACAACTAGACCCCAGTTCGTTTGCACCATGGAGATGACCCCTTGGACCGACATGTTCAAACAAATTTCAAGGGTTCAAACATGTTCAAACCATGTGTTCCTGTGTCTTCCTGCTGGGTGGGGCGATCAAGCTGCACAGCACAAAGGAGCTGAGAAGGAATGAAAAGGTCCCACATCATGTAGACTGTCACTGTGGACTCTTGATCCATGAACCCCCCCCATGTTGAAAAGGTCACATGCACTCTTTCGGGAGGGCTTTAATTATTCATCAAGATTCCACAAACCCTAGGGATCCAAGTGCCTTCTCAGAAGGTGATTGGAGGCACTGTTATGTAGGTTTGGAGGTTCCAGTCGTACCTTCTGAGGTTCGGTACGACTGGATCCCTAGGGAGAGAAAACACACAACCAAAACACCTTCAGGCCCTGAGCTGCAAAACACCAAGCCTTCTTGGAGACACAGGGGTTCTATTCATCACACGTCACACGTCTGGGATGGGTGTGCCAGTTGGAACCCGGTGGCGGTCATCCAGGACCCGGGCCAAACCTGGAGGCCCTGGTCTGTTCGTCTTATTGTCTTATTTGTTTTCGGTGAGTATAACTGTCATGCTGTGGTTATGTCGAACTTCGTAGGTTCACTTCCATCGTTGATGGAAGAACTGCCTCACTTTCCACCTGACAAACCATCCGACAGCTGCAAGGAAACAGCATTCACCATAATACGTACTCCACATAAACGGATATAAACGGATCATCAAAAAAACAATTCATTCATCACGGGAATTCTGAATTCTGGACAAAGTTGCCAAACATCTTCCCCAACAGCACCAAGTACAAACTAGCCTATGTCTGCCATGTCTCTCTCAGAACCCGAACCAAAAAAAACGCAACAAAAACATACAATAACAACCGAACCCCCCAAAACAGAATCCTCCACAAAACCTGGGGCATCAACCAAGCTCCATCCTCTCAACAAAACACACCCAAAGATCACGGCGCCAACCGCCGCAACCGCCGATCCCGCGCACGAACGTCGTGACGCCATGATACGCCGCAGACGGTCCGACCGTCGACGTGACGGCCTTGGGTTTCTTGCACTCGTCCACGAGCTGTAGCACATCGCCGCGAAGGCCATTCACTTCGACGATCCGATCCTTGGGCTTCAAAGCCTCGGAACCGACACGTGGAACGGAAGTGCGTCAGGGTGCCGATCGCGGAAGGACGGAGTTTTGGGTTGGAGAAATAGGGATAGGCATATTCAAGGTAGGGATAGGGAGGACAAGATATGATGATATGATAATCATTCATCGTCCATAAGTTGGTTGGTCTGTATGTGTATTCGTCAGGTGAAACCTTTGTTTCAAGGGGAAAATCTTTGGAGCGGAGGTCTTCCTGACTTTGTCTCAATTGGACATGTTCCCAGCTGGAACAAATTGAAATCTGAAAGCTCGTGGACTCGTGGGTTTTTTACATCGCCGCGCCCGGGGCCGCCGGTCACCAGACCTGGGAACTGTGGCAGGTTCTGCCTCTGACAAGATTCAGATAGACAACACCAAAAACTGGATGAAGAGTCAGAGTCAGAAGACTTGGAGTGAATGATAGTGACTGACGTCATGTTGAGTGATTGATCGACCACATCGTTACATAATGTCTCAAATAAGACGACAGGCCTGGAGGATGTTTGACCCCCCGCCGCAGTTGCTTATTATGTTTCTTCACATATCCTGCTTCCTTCATGTTCATGGTCCTCTTCCACTGACGACGACAACAACAACAACGCAGAGTCTCCCCACGCGAGCAAAAAGACTCCGGTTTCGGCGCCCCCCCCCCCGCCGTTTCACCCCGCTTTTCGCCGCTTTTCGCGAAAAAACGCGAACAACCCGGGGCGGCGGGACGGTCGGCATCGGAGTTTCCGCGCCTTGTCCGGGTGTTCCTCGTTCCACTTCTGGATCAATCCGCCCGTGATGGCATCCACCGCCAGAGTCCGGCCGTCCTGACGCCGCAGGACGGACGCAGGACTCGCGGCGCGGCGCGGCGCGTAGTGGGGCGCGGGACGGTGTCTCCGGCGGAAGGCGGAAGCAGGGAAGATGAAGCCCTGAGGAAAGCGGGGGTGTTGTGGGCGCAAAGAGCAGTTGAGTATGTCTTTTTGGGGGTCATTACCTATTGAGCAGTTGAGGGTCATTACTTATGAGAATGACATTCATCAACCTTCATCAACATTCATCTCTCGCAGGACTTTCATGCACCTGAAGCCTTTCCAGTGTCCACTTGTGTGACCACTAAGAATGTTGGTGATCTTGATTTGGCGAAACACGAGAAGCTGGTCATTCTGGCTTGCGCTTTCGGTTGACTCACTGCGCAGACTTCGAAGCGCGTTCGGTCTTCTTCACTCCACTGCGCCGCCAAAAGGAAAGGATGATGGGAACCGAAGACCAACATGTTAGGCTTGTCTATGTTGTTATGGGTTGTCCACTTTCAAGGGATTCTTCAAAGATCGATGAAACAGTCGCTTCAAAAGGTGCGAGAAATGGAGACATTCACACTTCCTTTTGACCTGGTTCTTCTAGTCGTCACCTTGATCCCCTGGTAAAGGGTCTCTTGGGGACTCCCAACACAGGTCACTTCCACCGCTGGCCGGCGCGAAGACCAAATCCCCGGCCAGGCTCCTCGTGGTCGACATCCATCCCCAAACGCTCTCCATTGGTCTTGTCCTGAGGATTGGTTCCCTTATGTTCCCTCTTCATCCACGTTCATCGAGGTCCCGTGATTTCAGGGAAGCCGAAGGATGTGTTTTTTCAGCCCAAAGCCTAAGGCTGCTTCCTTTGGGGTGGCGCCGGGCCGGAGGAAGGTGGCGCCGACACGGTGGACGGGGAGGAACGAGTATAGATCGTGGGGACTGCCGTGAAGTATCGATGGCATGGCAAATGAAACAAACGGAACAACATGAAACAACAACTAACTATATAACAACTAACTATATATATATATATATTTAATCGATTAACTAGTATTGTAGTCTTCTTCAATGAGATTATGATGAAACAGGATGTCATATGGATGCCTTATGATTGTCCTTTCAGACTATTTGCATTGTGTCTTATGAGATTATGATCTTGGCTTCACCTCGTCATCGATCAATCCTTGTTGAACTCCGTCGTTGAATGGACAGACTCCGCTGTTCTCCGTGGGCGGGATGACAGTTGAAAGGCATCAGCCGAGACTCTTCGCACTTGGAAACCTCTCAACCTGGATCTTACAATAACTGGGTTTTGGTTCAAAAGGCTGAAGTTCTTTCTGCATGCGACCAGATCCAGGAATTAGATGGCGCAGTGTCCCGCGCCACATCGATGCGTCACCTGACCGAACCTAGATCTGACCGAACCGAGATGTGGCCCCATGAGTGGTGGCCCCCATCTGGGGCCGCCCACGAGCACGATGATGAACTCGCCGTCCTGCCAGGTCGGCCGCGGTTTGGTGTTGGAGGGAAAAGGGTGTAGAAACCAGGATGAAACCAGGATGAAACCCACTTCTTGAACATGTTTTTTGTGTCCCAGCAAGCTCTAAAGCTCCAGATCTGAACAACAAAGGCAGGAGAACTGCTCTCCTCGGGATCACTGCAAGAAGGAAGGTATGTAAAAAGCTGGGCCTAAACTCCTGAACATACACTCCCTGGGAATATTCATGGAAGTGGAGGAAAATGCTCATCCAAGGAGCCATGCCATCCACTTCCATGATTTTGCAGGGAGTGCATAGTGCTGTGAGTATGCCATTGTGTTCCACACTCTCACAGAGTGAGTCTTTTTTTCAGCACACCATACTTCATCAAGTTGAGGAGGTTCAACCGACCAGGTCGGCTCATCATGGCTCGTGGATTCCTAAGCTCTCAGTGCCCAACCGCTGTGCAGCTCCGAACATCGACGTGCGCGACACCATCGCTTTGGATCCAACGCCACGCTCCGGATCCAACGGCCACGCTGGAGTCCGAGCACATGGGGGAGTCTCTCCAAGGGCCAACAGGACGAAAACCATGCTCTTCTAGGGCGGAGGGGTGTCACGTTTCATCACGGTTCTCAGCTCATCAACCCGGGTAGGGTATGGTAGGGTAGGGGCGTATTCACATATGCTGTCAAGCATCAAATTGGAGAGAGCAGAGAGGGATTGCAAAAACAAACAATTCGACTCCCACCTGGGTTCCAGGCACGACCCGAGCTCCACACCCACGACAACGACTGTCGTATGAATATCAAAAAGAACAAAAAGCAACTTAAGGTTTCCTAGTTCCCTATACTATAGTTCCCAATTTTTGCCTCACAAATTCAATACCCACCCTCCGACCATCCCTTTCCCAACTGGGTGGCCCGGACACGTGGGGCGGGAGCCGACTCCTGCCAGAGACTTCCGCCGCCGTGACGCAAATGAAGCAAAGGACGCTCCGAAGAGCATCGAAACAAAGAAGGGACATATAAGAAACACATTGTTCCGTTGATTTCGGGTCGTTTCTGTGCTTGTTCAACTGTGCATCGTTTTTTGGGGGAACAAAGATGAATGAAGTAATTCAACTCTCATCGCTTGGTGAACATTACTTCTTTCCAGTCCAAGGATTCCAGAAGAATTGGACAGAACATGACAGAACCAAAAAACAGCTGGAAGAAGAGTCCCTAAAGAATCAACGAAACAGAATGACACACATGCCCTCCTAAGGAACTAAGGGAACCTGCCTTTAAAAGCCCACTTCGACAGCCAAGGGTGTAGGCCTTTCCAACATGTCCAACCCCTCTTGGAGTCGAACTCGATGAGAAAAAGCGGCTGAACTAGCGGAGTCGATAAGTGTCAACTGTGTCAAGATATTCATCTTGATTCTGTCATGTCAATATATGTCAATCAACTCACCTATTTTTGACATTGATCAACCAAAACTCATCCCTAAAGAATCAGGGTCTACCTTGCTTGAAAGAACAACCCCCAGGTCGGGGTTGTGCCACCTGCTTTCTTTTCTACTGGCTTTGTTCTTTAACACCACCAGGATTTCTAGAGGAATTTTGCACAGGGACGGGAGAAATAAGTCCAACACGTGCATTTGTCGGCCAAAGGAATTATTTTGTCGGCCACACTTGCATCACGCATCCGTCTGACAAGGGGTTCACCTCTGGGCCTCTGGCTGGTCAGAACATGCTTGCTCAAGAAGCATGGGAAGATTTTGCGAGTTCCCGGGGTTTCGAATAATTTCGAGCATCGACGCTGTCCCCCTTTACTCCTCCCGGTCCCCTGGAGTGTTCTTTTCTAAAAAATACTCTACAAGATAGCACCCACCTCCTTGGACCATATAAAACCTGTTACACAAAACACTGTCTTCCACATGCGCACCCTGTTCATTCGTTTCGGTGCGCCAACTGTTGCCGCTCGTCTCCTCTACCACTGGAGTCTCAGGTGCCGTTGGCACCACATCCTGGAGTCGGCGACGCGGAGGAACGGATTCCATGTCGTCGCTGGGGTGTTTGGAAGGACCTGGAAGGGTCGGTTTTTTCATGGTTCAGCTGAACTACAAGGAACGGAACCGAACCGCCATGAATTTGGGGTGTGAGTGTGTGTGTGTGTGTGTTTGTGTGCGTATGGAATTCAATACATTAAAACAACTCAGGTCAGGTCTACAGTCGCCTACCAAAAGACAGACACACACACACACACAATGCTTCCACGGGTTCATTTTCCCGTCCAAAGCTCTGCGAGACCCTGCGACCAAAAACCCACCGCGGTCTCTCTCATGCGCCTTGCTCTCCACCGCCTCAAGCTTGTCCGCATCATCCTTGGAACAGCAGGTTCCCATCGCCTGGAAGAAGAGAGTCCAAGGGGGGCGGTTCCGCGCAGGCTCATTCCAAGACCCAAACACGACACATGGGACTGCCATGTATGCCGCCCCATTGACCCCTTTTCAACCACGCCAATGGCCCCAATGTAGGTAAATATGCCAGTTCCATGGAGTGTTTGGGATAGAGTCTTGATCTGACATCTGGTGCACTGAATCCGGAAGCAAACGAAACACAAGCGGCATGGCTTTTAAAAGCGTGGTTGGGCAACTCGTGCTATCACTCTATACTTCGAAAACAACAACACTTACCGCTGGCAATGCTTATCCAAAGAGAACTCACCGTACTTAACCAAGTGCACGGGAGAAGGAAGACGAAGGTTTTCATGATGGGTGCGTGTGCCTCTGGAGAAGGGGCCTGGATGCATCCCGACCGTGTCAAAGAAGCGAGGGCAGCATGGAGGGGAGGACAGAATCTCCACTTGTAGCGCCTCGCCTGGCAGTTCTCATAGCCAGTTTCCTCCCATGGGAGGTCTGAGGGTGTCCCCTTCTTCAACTCAATGATCACCCTTGTCATTCACCAGGTCTCGACGCATCCGAGTTCCGACGATCCAATCTGGGACTCATCGCAGTCCGAGACCATCTTTGGCGCAGGTCACTTGCCATCTTTGGCGCCGACAAGCACAAATGCCATTCGTAACAATCGCTGCTTGCATCGCTTCAAGATGAGGAGAGCCTCGTCACCCGCAGTCCCTGTAGATGGCGCAAGTTACCCAAAGATACCCCAAGTTAGGTGGTTTATATGGACCCCCATCTAAAAGAAATCTTGGGGTGCCAGTGCCATCTACTCTGAAACCACCCTCTTCTTCGGTGTCATCACCTAACTCCTTTCATCGCTGTTCCCATAGCATGTGAGTGGATGTTTGGATGTTAATTTATCACATTATGTCTCATGTCGTTGTATATCATGAAGTCTGGCATATGATATTAAGAAACCATATTATAGACTGAATAACTCCAAAGTTTGCTGAACCAAGCTTAAGGCATTATAAAGTGGCCTGCTTTGATCCTCGTCAATCAAGCAGGGAATTTTCCAAAAACATCTAAAAGGCTGTGCGGGACATCATGATCAATGATATCTCTGGCACTATAGAATACCGTGCCGCAGTGTCTGAATAGTCACAAAAAACAACATTCCTATAATTTCCTATACAAAGAAGGGTCACAACCTCGTAGTTTGATAGTTGTTGCTTATTGAATTGAATAGAGCTTCATGAACGGGGTATTCAAATTTGGATCCCACCCTATACCCACCACCTCTCTTCTGCCGTGTGTCAAAACAGAATCACACAGCACACATGCACCGGGTGTCTTTGCCC